CATTATCTCGTTAAAACTCACTCTTCCCAACATATCTTAGTTTTCATTTTAGAGCTTTTTTGCTCCTTTTTGTTTTCTCTTAATTTCCTAATAATAAGTTTAAATCTTTTTCTGTTGTGCTATAGATATGTTGATTTGGCTACTTACTAATAAGTATTGGGTTTTGGGTTTTTTTGTTAAATGGCAATCAATTTATGTGTTGATGTTATATATATCTTTCCATCCCTCTGATTGTTTATGCTTTTATCAGTTTGTCCCATTCTGCAATATTTAGGTGAGAAATTAGTTTTTCCGTTTTTTTTGTTTTGTTTTGTTTTGTGTTTTTTTTTTTTTTTCAGAACGGTGGAATTTTAAGCCTGATCTTCTGTTTTCCTGGAAAACCATGTGTTTGGTTTTATCAGAGAAGCTGGTTAATCAGACTTTGGAGTGCTCTTTTCTTAACTAGTAATGCTGTGCCTTGAGGCTCTGCTGGTGTCTGACACTCCTTACCCAGTCCCAACCCACATAACATACATATACATCCATTAGAGACTGCTTGAAATAAACCATGTACAAAGGAACACTGCTGCTGTTGTTTATAATTTGGGTAAATATATTTAATAGTATCTTTTTTAAAAAATTACTCTACCTTGGTCGTAGAGAGCTCTGGGAACCTCTTCAGTAGGGAGTTGTGCTTCTAACCCAAAGGCAGGTATTTTGAAACCACTGGCTGTGTCAGGGAGAAATATAGGCCATATCCTGTGCAATTTACAGCCTTGGAAACCCTGCTAGAAAGTCAGCCACGAGTTGATTCTGACTTTACAGCATTGAGAGAGACACACACTTTGGCCATAGTATCATCTATTTTTAAATATTTTTTCTGTAAATAAGGAAAGCTGAGGAACGTTTTGGGAAGGCACCTCCAGTTTGCAGTTCTGCAGTCCCATTTTGAGAAAGCTCTGGTGGTTTAGTGACTAAGGATTCACTAACCCTAAGACAGGCTCTTTAAATCCACCAACTGCTGCAGAAGAGAAAGATGAGCAGTCTCTTCCCATGTGTTTTATAGCCAATGAAAACTTACTGTAGGAGCAGCTATGACTTGGTCCTGACTTGACGGTATACAACACAACAATGGTTCTGTTATGTAGAAGGTGAAAGGCAGGCTCTTGCAACTGGGACAGGGCTTGGTTGGGACATCAGAGTGTGAGAGCACAGTGAAAAAGCTTTGAGATGGAAGCACTACATCCCAGCGTGTTTTTCTTTCCATTAGAGTTTTTAATACACATCAAAGGCCTCTGTTTAATTTTAGCAGTCTTTTTCAATAAAGCAGAACAACACATTTGGCTTGAGAAATTAAGCATATAAAACAGCTCTTATGAGTTCAGAATCAAAAGCAGATTACAGGTTAACAGAATTGTTTTAATTTTCAAAAGAGACAGCTTGTGGCTTTTTGAATTATTTATTGACGCAGGAAAATGTATACAAAGATTGCCTTCTGTGGCAAAAATAGACCCAAAAAGTATCCTTTACCAAGTGAGGGAAATGGAAATGTGATGCAAGGAATGTCTTTGTGGCTGTATTGCACATAGGCCAGCGAGCCTTTTAGAAAAATAATTCATCAGCTTACTAGCAGCTCCAACTCTGGACACATTTACCCAAACAAGGAGATAAGTCAAACAGGGTTTCAGTACATTTGATAAAAAAGTACACAAACTTCCCTGCCCAAAAGAGCTCTAAGAGGGTTCACAATAGGTTTTCTTTTTTCCTTTCTTTTTTTAAACTTTCCATGGTGACAGAAAACTTGTTTTTAAAGCATTTCAAACTTAAGACTCTTAAATTTGGTTTGGATTAAAATCTAGTCTAAGTAAAAGGGCTTATAGCTTGTAGAAGGACATGGAGCAAACTGTCCCAGTTTGAACTGTTGCTTGTTACAACTTCTGGTGTTTCAATTGTTGAGCCCTCTGCTGCCTGGCAGCTAGCTAAAAAGTGCAGAGACAAAGCAAGTTTTATAGGATTCACTCACCTGAGTGAATGTTCCTTTGTGAAGGAACTTGACCGGTCACATATCTTGAGGTATGGTCATCACCTACTTTTTGAAACTTCTCTCTATGCTTCATCACAATTCCTAAAAGACCTACCATTGTACCTGTTTTAATTAACTGAAAGAAATCAGAAGAGGGTTTCTGCTTTTGCAGAAATCAAAACTGCTGTTGAGAGTTGGTTTTGCAGATGGCAGTTTGAAGCAGTGTGTACTGTGGGCATTGAGAGTGGTGTTGCCATGGTCACGCCCTGGGAACAATACCTAACATCTCAGCATCAAATTGCCAGAGCTTTGAACTCTATTAGCTTTGGTGCATTATGTGATGTAATTAGGTAGTTATTTTTGAGATCTAGGATGCTAAAAAAATTCCTTATATAAATTAATAGTAATTGTTTGAATGATACCATTTAGGCTGACGGAACATTTCACAGGATTGTTCTGCTTTCAGATAGTAAGGGAAACCTATACATGTGTTCTAATCTTTTTATGCAGAACCGCTTCAGAAGACCTTCTGAGAGCTTAGGGAGCTATTACTGTCTATGACATTTATTACTACTTTATAGCTCAAACTTGGTAACTCATTGCCATGGAGTTGAAACAAACTCACAGCTGACCCTTCGGGGTTTTGAGGCTATAAATCACATGGGAGGAGACTGACCATCTTTCTCCTTTGAAGTTGCTTATGGATTTGATCCACCAGAGAGGTATCACCTTTGGATTTGCAGCACCACTTCCTACAGACTATGCCATCAGAGCTCCCCTTTCACTTTGTCCTTTTTTTAAAAAAAAAAAATAATAGGTTTGCATACAAGAATTTACTTACATTGTGTTTCATTCATGGACTCTTTTTTTTGCAATGTATTTTATAAAATCTTTACATTTTGTTTCATACAATCATTCATATACATTGTGTTTTATGATTCATTACTATTTATTTATGCCAGTTATTACCCCCTCTCTTCGAGTCTCCATTGAATCTTCCCTATTCCTTCACATACATCCCCACCCCATCTGCCCACTAAACTGCTATTCCAGTGATTTCCACCCTTCCCCTTTGCACATTTGTCCTTTCAAAGCCAGAGCTTGTAGTTTGGTAAAGCTACCAGCAGGTGGAGATGGTATCTTGATCACAGATTGATAGGGTTTCTCTCTCAGGGAAAGACCCTTACAATCATAACTGTGAGTTTTCCAGTATCTGTCAAGTAACTCACTCCTAGTAATAGAAGTCCCTGAGTGACACAAGGATCTGCCTTTAGCACCTTGATCCCGATCCCCGAATTGATAGGATGAGATTTCTTCCTGTCTCAGGTCTTCCAATATCAGAATCTTTGGGTGCTGGTAATCACATTTGGCACCTCTCGCTGCCTCTGTTTAACTTTTTCGAGGTTTAATTGTTTAAAGTCACATCCTATACCAAACAGCAAAAGCTCTGCCTCCTTCTAGTGCTTGCAGTAGATTAACAAAATATGAACCTGAGATAGTTGCTACGTTCGATGCTGTATGGATCCTGTGTGTCCTCACAGTCGCTGCAGTGTTTGAGCCCATTGTTGCTGCCGTTGTGTACATTCACCTTGTTGAGGGGCTTTAAAAAAATGACCCTCTGTATTACCAACCTAAAGTTAGATTTCATGTTTTCTGATTCCATTGTGCCCATATCTTCTCCTAATCATGTAAAAAAACAACCAAAAAATCTGATCCTGTGGTAGAATGAGTGAGAAAGCATCACGTTGTAAACAAAAAGTTTTACCATGATGAAGGAAAGATAATTTTTATTGCCAACTAGATGCTGACATGTAGATTGAAGGAAGACTCAATAACTTGGATTATGCAGGTGACACAAACTTGCTTGCTGAAATGAGGTGAACTTGAAACATTGGCTGCAGAAGATCATAGAATACAGCCTTGAATATCAGTCACATCTCAACATCAAGAAAACAGAAGTCTCCACCTCTGGTCAATAGGCAACATCATGATAGATGGAGAGAGGATTGAAGTTGGCAGTGATTTTGTCTTGCTTGAATCCATAGTCAGCACCCTTGGTGCTAGAAGTCAGGAGATATTGCATTGGGAAAGTCCATAGTTAGAGACCTTTCCAGATTACTAAGGAGGAGTGTTGTCATTTTGAGGATGAAGGTGCATCTTCTTGAGGTCATGGTCTTTTCATTTACTGCCTATGCATCAGAACACTGAATAGTGAATAAGGATGGCAGAAGAATTGATGCCTTTGAGCTGTGGTATTGGAGAAGAGTGCTAAATATCCCATGGATGGCCAAGAGAACAAACAGATATGTCTGGGACAAAGTGCAACCAGAGTGCTTCTTAGAAGCAAAGATGGTGAAGCTTCATCTCACATACTTTGGGCACATTGCTACTTTTTGGAAAGGGACATCATGCTTGGAAAGGTGGAGGATCTGCGAAGGAGAGGAAGATCCCCAATGAGTTTGAGTGGCACAGTGGTTGCAGCAGTGGGCTCGAGTGTGCCAGAGATTGTAAGGATGGCACAGGATACAATGTTCAGGTCTGTTCATAGGGTCACTATGAATCATACTCTAATCAACAGTGCCTAAGAGCAACAACAGCACGTGCTGACATGCTTTGAATGACATGCTTGATACTGTACCTGCAAACATTCTCTCATCTGATCCTTACAACAACCCTGAAATACTGGTAATTATCAACACCCTCATTTCACACAGTAGAGATAACAGGACCTTCAAAATGGACATGAGCCAGGGTTTTCTGGCTCCAGAGCCTCTGCTATTGCCATTCATATTAACCTGAGCTTTGTCATTAAGTACTATTGACAATAGCCAAGGAGATAACATTATAATAACACATATTATGTATATTATACATGTAAAGTGCCTGGCACATATTTAGAACATGTTCTTCCTAACAGCCTCAGCCATCCTGTCACCTCTTAGTTTTTATTTGAAACATAGCCTTTACCAAGAATTTCTTTTCATGGTATTTTTAACAGGACCTAGGACAGTGATCCACCCTAAAGCACGGATTATTGCGGAGGCTGGACCGATAGTGATTGGTGAAGGTAACCTAATAGAAGAACAGGCCCTTATCATAAATGCGTGAGTAAGACTTTTTATACACTCTGAACTAAGTACCACAGATGATGTTTTTGTTAATTTCAACTTCTATAAGAACCTTTTCAACTGATATTTAAAGGGTCCACTATCCTTTTTCCCCCCCCTTCATATATGTTTTGAGTGAAAGTTTACAGTGCAGTTGGTTGTCTATTCATTCATTCTCTCATGCCCCACATTGGAACAACACTCTACCATACACAAGGATATATTTACAACTTACACAAAAATGCCTGTAGAAATATCATCTGCCATCCTGTGTGATTGTGATTGTATTTCCTTTCATCTGTGTGTATCTGTACCTCCTGCCTCTCTGCGTATCTGCTTGTAGATTATTAACGCTTTTTATTGACAGTGTAGGATTATGCATGTGATAATGTTTACCTTTGATGTCTGTATCTCTTATGTGCCTCTCTGTGTCTTCCCTTTCTTTAGTAAAATTTTGCTGAACACCTTCTTACTGTACATTACCTTTCCCTTCACCCACATTATCTTATTTTTTGCCCTCCCCTTTCTCTCTTCTATCCCTAGTATTCTTAAATAATGTTTCTTTCTGTGTGTAAACCCTTCCTGAACTTTTTATAATAGTGGACTCATAAAATATTTGTCCCCTTTGTGACTCGCATGTTTTACTTAACAAAATATCCTCTAGAGTAATTTATGTGATGGAGTATTTCATGAATTTTTAATTTTTCTTTAACATTGCATATTCCACTGAATATCTCATGAACAGCCAAGAGAACAAACATTTATGTCTTAGAGAGGGTGCAGCTGGAGTGCTCTTTGGAGGCAAGAATGATGAGGCTTCACCTCACATGCTTTGTTCATGTTGCTAGGAGGGGCTGTTCCTTAGAGAAGGACATGATGCTGGGAAGGGTGGAGGGTCAGTGAAGGAGAGCAAGACCCTCACCCAGGTGGATTAGCATAGTGACTTCTGCAATGGACTCTTGTGTGTAAAGAAGTGTGAAGGTGGTGCAGGATAGAACAGGATTCAGATCTTTTGTTCATAGGGTCACTATGAGTTGAACTCAACTCCATCGCACCTAACAACAACAACAAAAACAACAAGGATGTACAATAGTTTGTCATTTCATTCACTGATGGGCACTTAAGTTGTTTCCATCTCTTTGCTGTTGTAAATAATAGTGCCATAAAAATGGATATGCATCTGTCTGTTCATGTTCCTCAAATAAGGCTGTCGCTTTATCACTAAAGAAACTAAAGAAACATTAAGGATCTGTTTAAAAATAAGTAATTAGCACTTGAGGAGGCCCAAGCCGATGGGCAGAGACTTGTCAAAGGTGAAAAAGCTTGACTCTGTAACACTCAGTCAGGGTAATCTTTTCCTTTCATACCACTGCTGCATCCATTCACCACACATTTGCTGAGTACTTCCAGCACCCAGTGCTGTGCTGCCCACCCTCCAGGGTGTTTGGTTCCTTGGTGGTTGTTGCAATGCTCAGACCCGAACCACTTGCGTTTGGGTTGGCAGCACAATCCTTTTCAGCTTCCAGGGCACCCTGGTATCAAAATACTAAATCATGTGTATGACCTTAATGAAGTAGATTGTAAAAGTTTGGCAAGCATTTATAAGGTTTCCTCAGTACAAATTTGGCAAGAAATTCAAGCTTACATCTAATTTACAGCAACAATGTGTGGAATTTGTAAGAAAGGCCTTGGAAGAATATTTAACAGTGATAAAAGGAATAATTTATCTCAGTGCTTACTTAAAATGAGTTTCTTGCTATATTAGGCCATTTTTTTCTACATAAATTTTAAGTATATTTAGTACCTTTAGCATGAGCCAGTTAACAATAGCTATATTCTGCAATAACTGTCAGAGGTGAAGCACCATTTTAAAATCATGTCTTCCTCTTAGATTGCTTTCTAGTTCTAAAAATTTAATTCCTATTATTTGTTGTTGTTATGTGTCCTGAGTCAGAGCCGACCCATAGCTGACCCTCCAGTGGGTGTTGAGAGGCTGTAAATCACTGGGGAGGAGACTACCCATCTTTCTCCCGTGGAGCAGCTGATGTATTTGAACCATGTGATTTCAGAGTGGCAGAGCAGCTTGTTACCATGAGGCTACCTGAGCACCCGAGTTGCTGTTACTAGCAGCTCTCTAGTCAGTTCTGACTCATGGTGATCCCGTGTGTGCAAAGTAGAACTGCTCCACAGGATTTTCCAAGGTCCCAGACCTGCTCTGAGCTGCCTCTAGATGGGAGCATGTCATCACCCTGTAGGCTTAAAAGTCCAGAGCTTAACTTTTTGTACTGCCAAAGACTTCTCAACTAATAGCATAAAATAGTTATTTCCTGTGAGTATCCTTTTACCTTCTACAGTCTTTACTTCACTACTAAAGGTAGAAATGTTTTCAGTTAGGCAGACTTTTATTCCAATTTAACAGATTGAAAGTCATGTCCAGCAACTTGTAGAGCATCCTGGAGAGGGCTTTCTGGACTTTGGGTCTAAGATATAAACAGAAGAGTGCTGTACTTATTCACAGTCCTTCTGCTTCTTTGCATTTTAGTAACTTTTTAAATTCAGAATTGAGTCATCTTCAACAAAATGATAAATAATTTACATAGTTATATATTTTAAGCTTGACTTAGGTCAACGTTATGAGAGTTACACAAACTTTAAAACAGGAAGAGTTGCTTATTGGACTACTCTCTGACAATTTGTCTTTTCTTTTCACAGTTACCCTGATAATATCACCCCTGATGCTGAAGATGTAGAACCCAAACCTATGATCATCGGCACCAATAATGTGTTTGAAGTTGGCTGTTGTATCCTTAATGTTAACCTCAGATAAATCATCCTTAGCTGTTCATGAACACCAAATCTCTCCCTGTGGAAAATGTCATAATTTAACTATAAATATATATAAGTATTCGTGCTTAATGAAAAATGATTTAGACATTGTGCATACATCATTATAAAATCTTATGAGAGCCAACTCCCTTCACCCTTGCTGCTGCTACTGCTGCTAATGGAGCTGCTGCTGGAGCTGCTGGAAGAGGCTGTGGGAAAGGACAGTGTCGGCAGCTGAGAGGGTGTCAGGGGGAACAGCTGGAGGAAGTGAGTGGGGAAGAAGTGGAGTACTCCCCAGCCCCACCTGCTGTTTCACTCACCTGAGCAGCATGGACCCTCTTCTCCTGCTGCTGCCCCCTGCCCACTGTGAAAGCCCAGGAGCCCAAGCCAGCAGCAGAGCCATGTCCTCTGCCTCACCTGCTGGTGTTCCCCCTGTGCTCCGGGACTGCACGACCCTGGGCTTGGGGCTTTTAGGGAGCAATAATAAAGAGCTCCTCTCCCTTTTAAAAAGCAAATACATGAGTATAGAAAAAAAATTACATTTTTTAGGATAGATCATTCCATTTTTAAGGGATGTCTGTCTGTCTGTCTGTCTGTCTATCTGTCTTTATCTCAATTCCATCTGTTCTAGTGACTGTAGAATAAAGAATAGCATTTTCACACACACACACACACACACACACACCCACACACCCTTTGTCAGTAATTTGAAAGTAACATTTTGTTCCTGATGGTGATGTAACAGCATCTTATCAGGTTCCAGTAGCTGAACAACAGCAGATGCCAAAACAGCAGTCTTGGCTTCTGTTCTGATTGAAGATTCCTGGCTTTGTCAGTTTGGTTCCGTATAGTTTTAGGTAGACCTAATACTAGCAATACCGGTTGCTAATACCACAAATGGTAGGTGAGGAACTGGAATGAAAAGGTTTCATTCTTTGTCTTTTCCTCCCCAAGTGTCACCAGTCCTGTTCCTGGTATTGTGCTAAAAAGATAGTGAAGTCTTACAATGGTGTCATTAAAACATTAATTTATAATAGAAAAATTTGGAGGAAAAATTCTAAATGTTCAATAGTAGCAAAGTATTTTAATAATTTAAGCTACAAGTATAAAACAGACCACCAGGGTCATTTTGTAATCTTTAAAAATGATGCTTTTATCATTAAAATTTAAAAATCATTAAAAAAATTAGTAACTTTGAGGAAATGCTTCCAAATTTAAGTGAATTGAATAAAATGAGCCATAAGAGTTTTTTTGATTCCCACTTATATATGTTGAGATACCTATATAGGCATATACTGATGCGCCATTCTCAGAATCACTGCTCAGTTGGAGACCATTTTTGGAGCCAAGAGTCTATCTTGTTGAGCATCTTCCTCATTTTCATTGACCCTTTACTTCATCCATCATGGTGTCCTTGTGCAGAGGCCATTTCCCCTCAGTACATGTCCAAAATATATAAAATGACATTTCCACAGTCATACATCTAAAGAGTGTTCTGGCTGCACTCCTTCCAAGGCAGAATCGTTCTTTCTTCTGGCAGTCCATGATATATTTGGTAGTCTTTGCCAACACAGTAATTCAAAGGCATCAGTTCTCCATTGGTCTTTTTTCATCATCTAGCTTTTACATGCTTAGGAGGTGACTGAAACTTCAAATATATATCAAACTGTTAACAGTGTTATCTTCAAATTTCTTAAAGACTGTTGTGAAGATGTATTGCTCCTGTCAAATTAGAGTATGAAATGTTCATTTCTAAAAAAAAAATAAAAAAAAAAAAGAAATGCTCATTTCTTTAAAAATAGAAAAGCCATTTATTTACTCATGTAGAAGATTTTGTTTAAAAAGGAAAACCCTCAGATTGTCCTGAGCAAAGATTTCTGGCAGGGGTAATATGCATCCCTTTTCCACCTCTCTGTCCCTTCCCCAGTCTAAAGACATACTGTATGAAAGAGAGGAAAAAACCCAACCCAAACTGCATGTTTACAATATTTGCTTAACTCTGGCTTACAGATTCTCAAGCCATGAAAATGGGAGATAATAATGTTATTGAATCAAAAGGTAAACTATGTCCAGAGTTTTACTGTGAAAAGCAACAATACCATACCCACTTTTAACATATAGTTAGGTTCCAGAGACCGGGTTGTTTTGGTTTGGTTTCCCCACCACCCCAGGAAAATCTACTTCCAAAGATCTAGTTAGTTAGTTAGTTAGTTAGTTATTAATTTTTCCCCCCATCTCAGAGTGTGTTCCTAAATTTTTTTAATTTTATTTTTTATTGATATTTTAACAAAAATTTACAGAAAACTTGGATTTCCATTCATTCATTTTTGCACATTTTCCTCCCTACCCGCCTCCCAGTTCACTTTTCTCTTTAAAAAGATTCTTTCACTGCTGCACAGCTTTCTCCCTCCCTCCACCCCCAGTCCACTTTGCTCTGCACCTCTTATTCTGAACAATTGTCATGCGCAGGTTGTTATTTTTAAAAAATTATACGCTGTGCTAAAATGCATGCCCTAACTCCAAAATTAAATCATTATTACATAGGCGCCAAATCCTAACTCCTAAAGTAGATCATTATGCACTTACCAGACCACTGAGAATCATGACCCAGCCATGCTGACACATAACCTTGACCATCACAATTGGCCTTACTTTTGCTTCCTCACTGTTCCTTCCTGCCAGTTATATGCCATCAATGCACAAAGTAGAAAAATAGTAAATTTTTTACTATTATCATAAATGCTAATAAAGTTTTTAATTTTTTTTTGTCAGGGTGTGGGCAGTTTGTGTTTTCATACTTAAATAGTTCCCTTTTTATTAAAACTTACTAAAAATTTTTTTAAAGTATCCCCCAGTGAGGAGCACACTGTTCCTGGAGGTGCTGCAGTGCCAGTTTGATGAGTGGAGTGCACAGGGCAAGCTCTTATTCCATTTCTTAATTTCAAAAGCCATTAAATAATTTATTTCAAAATTAGTATTCTAATCATTTGGTGCCTTAAGTTGCAATTCTTTTTGTATTTTTCCTGCAGCATATGTAGGCAGGAATGTTATACTGACAAGTGGCTGCATCATTGGTGCTTGTTGCAGCCTGAACACTTTTGAAGTCATCCCTGAGAATACAGTCATCTACGGCGCAGACTGCCTTCGTCGGGTGCAGACTGAGCGACCCCAGGTACTGGCCAGTCTCTTTAAAAGATGTTCTTCTAGGGCTGCTAATTTTTCTAAAATATCACAAAATTGTTTTCATGAGGATACTAAAAAGCTCCAAAAAAACCACAGTGCCCTCCAGTCATTCTGACTTACGGTGACTCTCCATTGGGTTTCTAGTGTGGACCCATTTGTTAATTTAACAACATAGCTTGATAATAAACACAGCCTATGAATAAATAAATATGTTTGAATACTTTGCATTGCCAACCCAAAGACACATGATTCTGCCTGCTGCTCTCTGGGAGAAAGTTGGGCGGGCGGTCTCCTTCCACGTGGTTTACTGTCTCAGAAAACCTGCTGGAGGGTCAGCTATGGCTCGATACCAGCTCGTCCATAACAACGTAACAGCAGTAACCAAATGGGAACTCCGGTGGGCAGGTGGGTAAAGATTGTGCTGCTAACCCAAAGGCCGGTGGGCATTTTGAGTTCACCAGCTGCTCCTCAGGAGAAAGATGGGTAATCTCCCCCAGCTCAGTCTGATACATAACAACAGTAATAACTAAATATGCTAAGAGTCAGGGTGTCAATTTAAAGACTTTGGAAACGTACCTGATCCAAGTCATGATATTTTTCGTTGCATCCTACACATTTAAAAATTGAACAGTGAATCAGAAAGACCCAGGAATGCCTTTGAATTGTTTTTGTTGTTGTTGTTGAATTATAGTGGGCTGCTAAGAGAACAAGCAAATCTGTCCTGGAAGAAGTGTAGCTGTAGTACTTCTCGGAAGCAAAGATGGTGAAACATCATTTTATGTATTTTGGGTGTGTAATTTGGGGGGTGGCATGCAGGTAGTCCTTGGAAGAGGGTATTATGTTTGTAAAAGAGAGAGGGTTAGTGAAGGAGAGGAAGACTTAGCGAGGTGGACTGACACAGTGACTACAGCAGAGGGTTTAAGCACAGCAGAGATTATGAAGAAGGTGCAGATCTTCCGTATATAGGGTCATTTGAATTAGTGTCAACCTGATGACACCTAACACCACCAAGGAATTTTGGGGGCTTTGTGTTAGAGTCGTTGTTGTGCACCATTGAGTCAGAACTGGCTCATGGTTGGCTTACCAGTGGGTTTCAAGAAGCAGTAAAGTGCATGGGAGGAGACTGCCCATCTGTCTCCTTCGAAGCAGCTAGTGGGTTTGAACTATGTACTTTTGGGTTGGCAGTGCACAATTCCTTACCACTATGCCTCCAAAGTTCCCCGCTGTTAGAGTAGGCGATGTTTAAGATGAGATGACCTTTGAGCATATTTTGATGAAAATATTGAACCATATTGCTTGGCATATGTCAGTATGTATTTTTCAGTTGTTCACTCTCTGTCCTTGAATCCAAAAGAAGTATTTTCAAAACATTTTCGCTTATACTTGGTCACATTTTATCAGAAAGTAAAAATCCAGTTCTTTTTTTATTTTAATTACTCTTTTGTGTGCGTGTACCGTCATACCAGATCTGACTGGTACAGGAGGAGATTGTCCCTCCTTCCCCGGCAGAGCATATGGTGGGTTCGAACCATGCGCCTCGGGGATTGTAGTTGCACTTCCTTGCCACTAGGCCACCAGAGCTCCCCTAAAATCCAGTTCTTTTATGGGTTACTCTGTGCTCCTCTCATGTGATTTACTCCCTCTCAAAACCTGCTGGAGAGTCAGCTATGGATCAGCTCTGACTTGATAGTATATAACAACAACTATGCCTGTAATGTATGCTTGTTAATTATAAACAATTACATTTACCTATTTAAGTTAAAAAGTAAATAGAGACAAATACACTTTTTAAAAAAGTATATTTCACTGTATTTCTGCATAACATAAAAAAATGATTGCAGAGGGGAAATAAAAATGGAGTCGGGGAAGGAGATTAGAATTAAGTGAATTAGAATTTAGTACATACGATATTGGGCGTTGTTTTCCAGACTTTCTTGATCACAGAGATCTTTATTAAAAATAAAGATTCCCAGACTAATGAATCCTGATATGTAAGGACCAGACGAAACCCGTTGCCATCAAGCTGACTTCACCTGGACATGACCCACCACTGGATTTCCAAAGCTGTAAAATTTTGCTAGAGGAGCCTTTTCCCCCACAGAGCAGCCAGTCGGTTCAAACCACTGACCACCTGCGTGTGGTTAGCAGAGCCACACATAACACACTCCGCCATCGGAACTCCTTAGTGTCTAAGAAAGGGGCCTAAGAATCCACATCTTTCACGATTACCTTAAGTGAGTTTTACAGTGAGTGAGAGGGTAATGCTAGCACATGATGAGTGACAGCTGTGTGGCTGTGTCAGCAATGTGGAAGTTGATACCATTTGGCTATTTCACTCATGAAATCTTTTTGTAGGCTGCAGTGAAATCTTGGAAAGCACAGTTGAAAGGTTTAAAACTGACTTATGTATAAAATCAATACAAACTGTAAACAAAGCAGGTAAGTCTGTGACACTCCTATAATTCTGTGATCTGGAGGTAACCACTTCTTTCAGGTTCTTTTGACTTCGCTTCCTGCTAGTTAATTCCTAACTGTCTTATTTTATTTTAGCCCCAGACACTGCAGCTGGATTTCCTGATGAAAATCTTGCCAAATTACCACCACTTAAAGAAGACTACGAAAGCAAGCTCAACTCCAGTTAAAAACTAAAAGCATCTGGTATCCCAAGGTGTTCTGAGCAGTCTTACGAAAGGTCCATCATATGTATGTGGACTTAGCGGCTCACAGACTAATACATGTTGAGTTTATTTTGTAAAATTGAGTTATGGAGGAGTCATGTATCTTCATTTTAACTATGCTCTAAATTTTATATAAAATGTACTTGTTTTCCTATATTGTTCCCCCTTTTCTGGTAATTTATAGATTTCATCCTATTTCCTTTTGCTATGTAAAATATTGGCTACACATTTTAGTTATGTAAAATTTGTTCTTACCCATGTTAAGAAAAGGTATACGGTATGTATTTATATTCTAATATGCATTAAACTAAATTGCAGACGACAGTACTTTTAGTCAGCATACTTTAATCAGTTTTCCTACTTGCACTAATTTTCCTGTGTAGCTGTATTAATTGTTATCATGTATTGGCTGTAATAAAGGGAGACCTGGAGGCCTCATCCACAGCGAGTCATGCTGCTAACCCAAAGGCTGCTCCTCTCACAGTTTGCATCCACCAGTGTCCTCTTGGGAGAACAGCGGGCCATCTCCTCCTGAGCGCGTTACCGCCTTCGAAACCCCTGGAGGGTGAGCTGTGAGGTGGTCCCTTGGCATGACAATGAGCTTGAGCTGTAATAAAACGAATATTTTTATCTTTACGTCTTGTGGATTTGCAGCTGTTTAAAATATCAGGTAGATAGCAAGTTAAATTATTTCCAAGAAAAAGATAATTTTTAGTAAAACATAAATAGGAAAAGATGTTCTGTCAAATATTAAAAAATAATGATGTCTGACTGGCATGACAAGTTATTGTTGTTAGGTGCCATCAAGTAGAGCACCACTTATGTATAGCAACCCTGAGGACAACAGATCTGAACCCTGTCCTGAATCCTGTGCCACTCTCACGGTCTCTGACACCCTTGAACCCATTGCTGCAATTGCTGGGTTAATCCATTTGGTTGAAGGTCTTCCTCTCGTTTGCCAACCCTCCACCTTTCCAAGCTTGATGTCCCTCTCCAAGGAATAGCAACATGCCCAAAGTATGTGAGATGAAGTTTTATCATCTTATGCCTCCAAGGGGCACTCTGGCTGCACTTTCTCCAAGACATAGCTGTGTGTTCTTTTGGCAGTTCATGGGATATTCCGTCTTCTTCTCCAGAACCACATATCAAAGGCACCAGTTATTCTGTCATCTTTATTTATTCATAAAGTCTAAAAAAAGTGTTGTACAACCAGAAAAAGGCAAAATTGACAAATGGGACCTAAAAATTAAGTCCCTTGTATGCACCAAAAAACTTTTTCCAATAGAATGAAAAGAAAACCTACAATTTGAAAAAAAATTTGGCAATGATATTTCAGACAAGGGTCTCATAAAAAATGTATAGACGAGTACATGGCCTCCACAATAAAAAAAGACATGAAAAAACTTTTCACAACTGAGTACATTTTGGATGGTTAGCAAACACGTGAAGAAACAATAATGAGATACCATCTCTCCCTAGTACCAGTTTAACAGGACAGCAAGCAGTAAATGTTCAAAAGGATGTGGGGGAGTGGGGTTATTGGAACTCTCATGTAATGTTGGTCGGATTATAAAATTTTACAGCCATTCTGGAAGACAGTTTGGCAATTCCTTTAAAAAACTTAACACATAAACCCTTTATGACCCACTTATTGCATTGCTAGGAATATGTTGTTGTTGTTGT